AGGTGACATTGCTTGCCCCTGCTCTGCAGCGTGCCCAGAGACCTGGAGCCAGGGTGTAGAGCAAGCTCAGTGTGCAGGTCAGGGACAGACACTCTGGGCTGGGGGTGGGGGTAAGTGGCCGCGGGGACGGTTTCTAACCAAGCCGGGCTATTGTTTTCAAAGCAGCAGGCGCTTCTGCCCAGCAGTGTAATGAAACACAGTGAATCCTTTGGCTTCCCCCACCCTTATGTTCCAGGAATGTCTCCAATTACTTATGATGTTGATTATTAAATATTTATCTTGCTGACACATCCAGAGGCCCCAGTCAGGCCAAGGCCCTGTTGTGCGAGGCCCTACAACAAAAGCACCTGCAGGCAGGCTGCCTGGTGCGTGTCGCTCCTTTCATTTGCTTTCCCAACATGATTGCACCCTCTGGGCTGCTTGGGGTGTAACAAGAGCTACATCTGGGATCAGCACAGGGGGCAGGCAAGCCATCGCACGCGTGTGTGTGTGTGTGTGTGCGCGCACGCGCGCGCACATGTGCACAGACAGTTAAACATCAAAAGAGAAACAACAGCAATGTGACCTGGGAAACAAAGAGTGGGGAATAAAACAACAGGGATACGTGCAGAAAAGAACAGCCCATCTGCAAGTCCAGTTCCCAGGCAACTCGTTGAAAGAATCAGGGCTTTGGCCCATGTGTTACCTGCTCTGGCACCATTTCCATCCCCATCTTCAGGGAGAGCCCTGTGGCTTCTACATGCTTGCTGTCTAAGGAGAGGCCCGAGAGTTTATCTCAGAGTAGGAAAGATGAAAGTGCTTTGCGTTGCATTGTTCCCCACACAATATATTTCCTTGAAAGCTTATGTATTGTTGACCAACTCCGTGAATGTTTGCATTTCCTGATTTCCTGGTCATTAGCAGAGGGCCTGTTCCCACATGCGTGGCTCCCTGCGTTATTCCTCCTTTCAAACTGAGCTTAAAGGGCTCCTAGAAGATTTAGTGCGGTTGGCAGACAGGTGTTTGCAGCAGGGGCCAGAGCTCCTCAATGGTACAGCTCTAAGGAGTGGGAGACGGGGCCCCCTGCGTCCGTGGTTTTAGTTCAGATGTTGCACACTGGAGCACAGCCCTGTGTGCGCACGTGAGCAATTTGTAGAACAGCAGAAGAATCCACCCCGAGTGCAGGAGGATTGGGACAGATTTTGCTGTGAATTGTGGGCAGCACTTTGCCTTCTCTCGCTCTCCTCTGTGGGGAAGTGGAAAGTGTTTAAGTATGTCCACCAGAGAGACTGTCCTCGGGCTGCCCAGGGCTGGATCCTGCACGAGCTGGCTCTGCCCGCAGCAATGCTCACCGCTCCGCGGGCGCAGCAGGGTCAGAACGGCCCTTTTCGCAAGCTGCCAGCAGCTTCCCGGGCTCAGCTCTCTAGCAAGGTCAGGCCAGCAGTCTGCTGCCTGCCACCCACACCCAGAGCTGCGCGCTCGCCATCTTCCCGCCTCAGGCAGCTCAGAGCCCTCAGGGACACTCCAGGTTACGCTGTTCGCTGCCGTCTGCCCGGCTCATCCGGGCCTGGGACGAGTTTTTCACGGCTCTGGCTCAGGCCCCTCCGGAGTGCCCTGCTAATGAGCTCAGACCAGCTCGGTCTGTATCTGCTGGGCCCTCTTGTGGGCTCCTGGTTCTAGGGGATGCCCCTGGAAACAATGCAGGAGGCTGTAAGTCCCGTTACAATTACCGCCGCTATTAATTCTACAGACGCTGTGCACCCGCCCAGGGACACCACAGCCCTGCAAACAAGCATCCAGCCTCCTGCCCCACAGACGGCCCCATCAAGCACGGCCCACAGCCTTTGGGGCTCAGCCTTCCACAGTGTCTCTGCCTCAGGGATGGACGGTTCCCCTGGCCATGCTCTCTGTGTGAAATGCAGCACAGCCCTGGCCTAGCTGCCTCTGAGCTCGCAGCCTGGCTCCAACACCAAGGCCCGCTGTGCCCATCTGCCAAGGGGAGCAAACGGGCGGTGGGTGAAACTGCTGCTTGGGGAGACGAGCTGTCCAGCCTTTGCCACCCCACTGCTCCGCTCGGGCCCCTCTCCCTTCTCTCTCTTCTTTCCTCCATCCTCCCGCTCTGCTCACCCCTTCCAGCCAGATCCCTGAGCCCAGCTGTGGAAAGTGACATTCGAAAAACACTGTTTGAAAATGTTTTTCCTAAAGAAAATGGAGCCTCTTTCCCGGCATGCCCGACTGTGAAGCCCGAACATGCAAAGGTACCTATTTGAAAGCACTGCATTTGGGAATAAAACAGATCCGTACAGATGTGAGTCTATACCCGAAATATGTCAGAGATTCCATTGCAAAGC